TAGAGGTTTCTAGAAATTTCAGTTTTACGTAACAGTACTGGCGCTAACACAAGTATTTACGTACACAAATATATTGTTGATTCTTACTCTCGAGACTCTTCTACAACTTTGAAGAATAGGTGGGAGTTTCGCAATACATATTTAACAATATAAGCTATGTATGTTTCTAAATATAAATTTAACCTAAACAAACGTTGGTATTAAAATAAACATATAACAACAAATTCGTTACAGCGTGTATCAAGATTTATCTTATAATATGACATTTACATTGTTCAGATGTCTAATTATAAAGTTCTTTACACCACTGTAGGTGGATCTTTCTATTGACAGCTGATTTGTAGATGATACAAAATTATCAAAATTTATTTATTGCAGCTGTCTGTAAACTGATGTACAGCTGATCGTCCCTTACCATTCACAGCTCTTCCTAACTGCAATATAATAGTGTCTCGAAACAGTTCTTTCTTTTCACAACTTCCTGTGCTTGCAGATTATTGTTGACATTTCTACCATGATGTATAGATTCGTGAAGATGGATCGCCTTTGATTTCTCATTGTGTAACTTCTTATGTTACACGGTTTATGCTAAAGAGACTCCAACTAATAGGGCCCTGCAATAATGCCTCTTTTGAAATCATTTTATCCATTTTAGAGAAAAAAAAACAAGGCATATGAAAACCTGTTTACTAGTCAAATTGGAAACATTTCGTTTCTTTCTAACCCATCAACAATGGGAGAGTAAACAAAAACACAATAAATGTTGGGAATTTTTTTATTTTCTTTTACCCAAGCAATTTATAAATAAATGCATAGCAGTATGGCTTATTATTATGTAAGTGAATAGAACATTTCGATTAAATGGGATTTTTTCTTTTCAAAACGTGATGACTTTAAACCTTGAAATTAGTAGAACATTTCGATTAAATGTGTTTTTTTCTTTTCAAAACGTGATGAGTTTAAACCTTGAAATTAATAGAACATTTCGATTAAATGTGTTTTTTTCTTTTCAAAACGTGATGACTTTAAACCTTGAAATTAGTAGAACATTTCGATTAAATGGGATTTTTTCTTTTCAAAACGTGATGAGTTTAAACCTTGAAATTAATAGAAAAACAGAGCCTTATTTTACGTTGATTTATTGAATGTCGGTTGTATGTTATGAATGAGACATTGGAGTTTTTTCTGAGTTGTAAGAGTTTTTGTTTTTTCTGAGTGTCTTTTAAAAGCATAAAAAGAACAAATCTAGTTTCCGGTCATTTGACTTTGTTATTAACAAACAATCATATTCTTATAATTATTCGAAACTGTAGAATATATATACATTACATTGTCCGAAACTTAGCTGTGGAGAACAAAAAACAATATTTTTGATACTGGTTCTCGTCTCATCAAAAGATGTAGGTTTAGTAAAAAGAAAGAGATACAGTTGAGGGTGTAGAAGCTTTAAAGGACAATATTTCCACGGAAAGTGACAACTGTTCTTAATTTATAAAAGCCAGGCCCTTATCAAAATAGAGAAATGTCTTGAGGTAAGATAGACGAACAGACGAGCTGAAAACTATTGAAGTGGCAAAGAAAAAGTTAAAATACGTGCAGATTCAAAAATTGCACTTATTAATAAATAAAATAATGTTTTTGTTTATTTGTTGTCAAGAACAAAGATACACAATAGGTTATCTGTACTGTGCCCACCACAGGTATTGGAACCTGGTTTTTAGCGTTATATGCTTTCAGATTTACCACTTAGTCACTTGAGGACAAAATAAAATAGGAATGTAAATATTAATAAGTGACTTTTGATTCATAAAAAAATACAATAAATTAATTTAAAACACAACGAATTTAGTAACGGATTTATTTAGCTTCTTCAACTTCACATTGCATCTTTGGACTTTACTGTGTCTTTTGTTTCACAAAATATTGAAACTAATAATTTATTTTATATGTTTGTTTGCTTTGAATTTATGCACAAAGCTACACAATGGGCTATCTGTGTTCTGCCCACCACGGGTATCAAAACCCGGTTTCTAGGGTTGTAAGACCGCAGACATACCGCTGTGCCACTGGGGGGGCATATTTTTTTTATGAATCCTTTTGGAAGATAACGATAATATTGTGCCCGTTTTTGTTTTTTGTTTCGTTGTCAATGCAGTAACCAATTGCCGAATTTTCGATTCGGCTGGTATATCAAATAGATTGGGATATTTTCGAATGAGTTCTTTCCTCATCCGACCTGAATCCACGGTTTAGCTTAATCACTACACCTAAACCCCGTTCACGACAACTTCTAGAAAATTTCAAGTGTGTTTCCTTACCACATCGTTTTACTTTACATCTTTAATTTAATTTCTCCATGCTGGCTCTCATTGTCTCAAGCTAGGTCATGGGTCTAGTCGTGAGTCTGGTCCAGCGACTTAGACTTCGAAATAGTCAAACGACTTCTTTTTGTCTAATACAACCAACCAAACTATCCCGGAATGACTCTTTTTTTTTTTTTATCCACATCAAGATACCCGGCTGGCTCGTGTGGTAGGTGTTAAATATATGATATCTTCAGTTACTAAATTTGTCTCAGTACTCAACATTGTAGTCAACAAAGTTTGTGAACGTAGCGAAACGTTAGTTGCCTTCACCACAATGATACACTTCAGCAGTAGTATCTAGAACGTATGTTAATTACAAAGCTTATGTTCGTACACTTGTATAATGTAAAATGTTTAATCCAATTACTCAACACAGCTTCCCCAAAAGCATACATATGAAATCTAAAATCTGAATTTAGTCTTTTTTGAGCTCTCGTGTAGTTTTGCACAAAATTCATAATAAACAAAACCATTTAAATTTAGAAATGGAAGTTCACTAAACTAAAATCTTAAAACCATGCATATTTTCCTATTTTTCAAAAATACCGCTTACATTCTGTCTTAGGGCATATGTTGTCTAGTGGACATGACATGCCGTTGGTTAGCCGTCCAGTGATTTCTACTTCTTTTGGGAGAACTGACCATGGATTTTCGCCCTTTCACTCACAGTCTCAGGTATGTTACTTTGTGTACAAGTATTTTCAGTGTATATCTGCTGGAGGTATAAGATGTAGAAGCTAGTTTTACTGAATAATCCGAGAAAAATATTCGTGAATGTTTCTGAACCAGCATCTATTTCCAAATAATCTATAGTAAGCAGCCCTTATGTTTAGCGTTTATTTAGATTCTCGATGCTAAAGTATTTTACCTTTTCACATTTAGCTATTATCATATTCAAATATCAATCCAAGCGGTGGAATGAGTGGAGTTATTAACTCTACCAGCATTGGCATGTTTACTTCGTCAATGACAAATTCTCGCAGCACTTCACGAGCCACAACAGCTTCTCGTTGGAACCCTCCGTTCATCACTCTTGACGAGAATATCGACTACAATATGATGGCAGGCTTGCTAACACCTTCTGATGGAGAACATTCACATATGCTAGGATCAGAAGGTTTGTTATTGTCTTATGCTAGTTTAACAGAGAAAAATATTAAACAAAGTTTGGCTTTACTCTAGTTTAATTCGTGATTTGTTTTCTTTTCAACTTCCTCTGTTGGAGTTATGAGGTATATTAACAAATCATTAAGTGAAGCTCCCTCTTTAGGATTATTAGTATAATAAGTTTCTTCTTTTAACTTTCTGATGGTTCTATTTTTCACATGTGATAATAACTTATATTCATATTGTAAATTTTTATAGAGTTCGTTGAACTGGAATTTATTATAAACATTTATTTAGGCTACGGCAACTACGAAGTGAAAACGAGTTTTTGGTTGATGTAATGTCTTGCAAGAATTATACCAAATAATGTATATATATATATATATATCATTTTCGCCAATTCCCACAAATAAATTCCTACTTTCTAATGAAACTTTGTCTCAGTAATCTATATTTAAACAAGTCATCTGAAAGAAATGGTAGAAGAACAAGCATTCAGATCAACTATTTTTCTCTCGGCTATCTGTATTTAAGCTGTTAAATTTTTTTATTGTTTTATACATGCATAAATTTATTTCCTCTATGCCTTGACCAAACTAATTTTTAGTCACGAATGTTAAGTCTTTAAAACGTTTATTGAACTGTGGCGCCAACTAGTGGTCGAAAATGGGTTTCTACAAATTTAATATTTTCTTCATGGTCGAGCAAATGAAGTTTTTGCCATTTTTAATAACCAATCAAAGTATGATATTTAAAAATAATGAAACATTTATGTTCAACCTGTTATGTTCAAAGTCTAATGAAAACTCATAGCACAGCAGTAGTTATAGTTTCTAATTTAATGGAATCGGCAGGTAATTAATTTTAGTCTGGGTTATCTTAGATGGCTAAGTATTTCCTGTAATAAACCTGTGAAACAATAATATCTCATCTATTGTTTCACGATGTATTCACCAAACAATTTGTTTTAATATCAACTAACTCAAACTTAGAAAAATGAATATTCAAGATACACAAGGTATATTCAAGAAGCTGTATTTCTTTGAGTCCATAAGGCCAATAATTTTGTTATTTTCAATCTTTCCTTACATTATAATATGCTTAAAGTATTTGTGCTAATAATTAGTGGAATATTGCCGAATAAAGGTGCTTATCTTAAGAGAGCAGAGGAGCAAGCCAACTGAGGAGTTTTCTTGTTGTATTTGTGTATGAAAAGCTTGAAAACAAAATCTATTCATTTAATGTTACAATCTTTGCATTATCTCACTAAGTTACAATCATTGGTGCACTTAAAAACATTCTTATTGCATTATTGATTAATCACAGTTGTGACACGTACCTTTTAGTAATGATAGGAAATGAGTTTGCATTCAAAACATCTATAGTAACTTTTTTCTCTTACATGTAATTTTGTTAAAGTATACAGTTCACTTCTTCACATATATCTGTATTTGATGGCCTCTACATCATTAATGTTATATTAATTTTTAAGTTATTTACCAATATTTTTTTTACATTTAATGAGCTTTATCACTAAGTAAACAGTATTGTTATATTCAGTACATGGTTTAATTAACTGACTACTACTAAAATATTTAGTATACCCTATCAGTGATTGGTCAAGTTGTCACATGAAGTCTACTTATCACTAACTGATCAAATCTATTGCGTTCTTTGCACCTTCTCAGAACGTGATCAGTATTTGTACAATGTGTTGATATTTTATCTCTGTTTTCTTTCAACAACTGATCAACATGGTATAATCAGTGCACATTATTATTAATTTACCAAAGCATTTACATGAATATCAGTTTCTCTCTAATTCTTAACAAAGTTTTATTGAGCACATTATTTCATCAGAATTAATACATTTATTGATTATATTCTAAAATCAGTGGTTCTGCTCGTTAAATGACCATTATGTACTTTTCAACCAGTATTTTTATTAGTACTCTTTCTTCTAATATAATGACCATTATTTCTAAAATGATTTTTACTTCTCTAACTTTGAGCAGTATTTCTGTATTCACTGATTTTTATTATTATGCTATTACATTATTTATACATTTATCGGTTCTTCTTACTCGTTCGCGATTAATTTTATATTCAGTAGCTCAGTTCTAAATTATTTGTTTCTTAGTTATTGAACAATAGATATTTATTTCTACCTATATATTTTTTCTCTCTCGTTTTCGATTACTCCTTATTTGTTTTTTCTTTTCACTCATCACCAGTTATTTATATACTCAGTGATTTTATGTGTCTATTGTTATGTCTGTTTCCAAGACATTTTCCCATTCAATGATAGTTATTTCAATATTCACAGTTTCTTCTCCTCACACATTGATAGTTATATTCATGTTCAGTGGCTCTTCTCGCTGGTGACCACACCATATGACACTCTGTGGTATTTCTCAGTCAATAAACATTTTTTATCACTCACTCTTTCTCTTTATTCATTGACCACAATTTCCACCTTAACATTTTCTTATCACTTACTCACTGACTAACAGATAATGACATTCAATCTCTTTTCTCATCATATGTTCATCATTTCTACATTAACTGGCTTTCTCACTCAACATTATTCCAACTTGCATCATTTCATTTAAGTCGTTGACCATAGTTTAACGATACAATTTATTTTTACTTATTGGCTAAAATTTCGAAATTCAATAGATCTTCTCACCCAATGACCAGTATTGTTATATTGATTCTTTATTCAGTTGTTGTTGTTTTTTACTCTTACACTTGATACATCTTCTTTCTGAAATACTTTCTTCATCAATATGCAATGTATAATAGATTAATTATTTTTTTGTTTAAATTGTAGGGCTTGTTAGAATATTAACGAATGTAAGTATTGTAAGCTAATGGTCAATAATTTGAATTTTGACTTGTTTAAATTCCTCATTGTACATAGAATTTAAGGGAACAGTTTCTACATTGTGTACAATTTTCTTCGTCAGTAAATTTTCTTCCAAACTTTAGAAACGTTTACACAATTTAAAAACTCTCCCAATTTGGTCTACAAGTAATGCAAGAGACGAAGCTAAAAATGGGTTTCGATACCCAGTGGTGGCACAGGATAGATAGTCCATTGTGTAGCTTTGTGTTTAATGACAAACAAACAAACTTACCTGTTGCGTAACATATATATTTACTGGAAGATGACAAATATTTGAATTGTGTATAATGCTATTTATTATTTACAGAGAGATTCTTTTCCCCGGTACAAAGTAATGAGCCTCTTGACGGTTCGAACAGCGACTCCTCCGCACCAACAAAGGCACATCCATCATAAGCGACACATTCACCACATTAAAGATGGTCGAAAGATTTAACAGTAAGTTATTGGAGCTGCAACGAAAGCCCGCATGACCAATGTCAGCTTACAGCAAATATACCCTCTTACTAGATAAAGGTGAGGTATCGCTGTCGTTTCTGATGATGTTATTTTATGATCGTAATGATGTGGTGAAGAATGCTATTCTTATGCTGTTCTTCAATGATTTGTTGGACAGCGTTACATGGAAGGCTAGAGAATTGTTTGTTAGCTTTCATGGTAAGAACTACCTCTGAATTGTACACGTTTGAATTAAGGCAGGATGTTTTACAATGTTTTTTCATATAGAGATGCTATTATATACTAGCACATTTATAGTGATAACTTACTTTCATATATAATTTAGCAGAAACATTTGAAGGCTATAAGCATTTCATTTATATTGCTACCATCATCGTTGTATTTTACGCCAAAAATCACAAGAATGTTAGAATGATATAGTATGTTTGTAAACTGTGATCACAGGTAGCGAAACTGATTATTATATAAGCATATATATATATTTGAAACATCTATAATATCAACATCTATCTTTTTTTCTCTGTCCATAATAACAGAAGTTTCTTGTTTTTGTCACAGCACAACGGTCAGAATTGGTTTGGTACTAGTATGAAATTACTAAAGCAACTTGGAAACTAGCACAATAATATATATATATATATATATATTAAAATTGTAATTGTAACTTACACAAGTTATGAAATATTCCAGGAAAATCATTTCATTATTTCATTAGAAAACTTGATGCGTTGTGTCAAACTTAATCTCGGAATTCTAAAATAACGCCTATACTACTGCTTTTATTAAACATACCGATCTTATGTTCATGTAAGTGTACTTATGATAAAGTTCATAGTTAACGAAAGCGTGTGTAGTAGTATGTCTGGTACTTGGAGAAATAATGTTTTCATTCCTAGTTTGGTCAGTTTAATCCAAGACAAGATATTCTAAGTTAAATGCAGCCCAATTAAAAAGTATTAACTGGAAATCAAATTAGTATCAACTATTTCAGATTCGATCAGGTTTAGAAATTTTAAGTCAAGCTTTATCATATACATATATGTATTATTTTAGTCATATATTTCTTGCTTTGCGTATACACTAAACAATCAATTAACGTGTCTCTATTTGGTATATGGAAAATAACAAGTTAATTTGGGCGAAACTGAAAGCACCTTTTCCGTTAACTAGACCCAGGTACTAACTCCAAAAACGTCTGAAAGATATTAGTATGAATATCTACCCGATTTGTAAAGAGTTCGAATTTAGCTTGGCGTGTCTTATTTGTACTGTAGTTAAATATTGAACGAAGTCTCATCAAGGAGAATTCACTATAATGTGAATATTGATAACACTTATATAACAATTTATTCATTATTTTGATCATAAACTAATTAGTTATTTCAATATTTCCCAATATTAAGGTTAAAATAGATGTAACTTTACAGGAATAACATTTATATAATTACTGACTCAGTGTTCCCTCTTTTTCTGTAGTTTTATGTTTTGGCTTATAGCCAATCCTGATTGAAAATGAAGTGTAACTAAAGATATCATTGAGATCAAATCATGGCGGCTCATAAAAACATTAGCGACTTAAGTATGTTTGCATCATTGTTCACGTAAAGCTATATCATAAAAAAAGTATTATGATACATCATTACAAATTTCTCTTATCCTAGATGCCTCATTAAGAAAGATTTATTTCATCAAAGAATACACCTTGTTTCTTTCTTAGTAACTGTATTTCGGTTACATGCTTATTCAAAGCTAGGCTCAGCGATTAAGGACTTTTAACTCCAGTTGTTTTCTTTGCTGAAAAAAATGAAATGTTATATAATAAAATGTGGTAATACCAAGAAGCTTTTCATAAGCTAGAAATCTTGTGTTTGTATAAAAAAAAGTACATTATGCTTTGTTTTTGTTTTTATGTATTCATATTATATAATTTTTGGATTATGATTGTGAAATTGAGACGGAGCTGTGATATTGTTGAGCATTACATTTACAAAAAGGTCTTGCTTATATATATTCTATACAATATAGCACATAGAAGAAAAAAAAGAAATCTTTTTGAAAATGTTTACCCGGTGCAACAGATTTGTTGAGTTGCAGATTTTTTTAAATCGATTTGTTATGTGATTTATTCAAACACACTGCTAATAATCGATCACACGTGGTCGTGTACCAAAGAGAGAGAGAAATATAGTTTTTGTCATCACCTGTAATGTGTTTCTTGTATATTAAGTAGCTATTCTCAAAATAATAGAAATTGATTCTAGTATTGAATAATATAAAAAAATATTTGTTTTAAAAATAGGATGAAGACATTACATTTCCGTACTATAAATATTTAGGACCTCTATTTACAAAAACAAGAATTGATATAACGGCCATGGGACAAAATGTAATTAGTAGGTAGGATGGTTAGTTATATTTTTGCTGTAAAATTTAAAACAAATAGTGATATATAAAAGATCATAAAATGTATAGCAAAAGTCAGCAACATTTTGAAACACTAAGGAAATCATCGAATTGTTTGTGATAGATATACAACATATATTTATTCGAAATCAGTAGTATCTTTCTATTTCCATAACAACACTTCTACAAAAACGCAGATAATACCTAATTAACACATATTTCAGGTGTTACATATACTCGTCAGTCTTTTATTGAAAGCTTCATGTAGAGATTTTAACAATAGCATAGAAATGGAGATATATATATATATATATTTCCTAGTTTTGAAGACTCAAAGCAGAAATACTTCTCGAGTAAATCTAAATACACGTGTATATAAAAAAGTAATGTATAGCAAGGATACTTTACTGCAAGATTAACTGAGAAGAAATATTTAGTTCTTAGGCTTAATTGAAGTAGATTGTATTATCGGTCTTAGAATAAACAAAACTGAAGTCTTTTTGACTGGTGTAGTTATTGTCATTTTTTTCAAAGTAGATTTTTACTCGGGTGTGATATTAAATTTATGTTATTTTCTTTGTTACATTAAATTTAATAAAGATTTAATATATTAGTCTGGTTAAGTGAAATTACTCTGTTAACTTAAACTAACGACTCAAAGTATAGAAACCACCTAATGAACCGATATTAAACTATATATCCTAGGTGTTATTATTAAGACATGAGACAGATGTTCCCTGCAAATTTTTCTCTTTCTCTTGTAATTCTGGTCTAGATAATCCTATGCAAAAATGTGAACATAAATAAAACATATTTGGAGTAAAACTGTTTTATTTATGATAATACTCGTAACAGTTGGAACACTGTAAAAGTGGACAAAGAAATGAGTCATTTTAAAACTGTGTGCCCTTAAGTAGAGTGATAAAAAGATGCGAACTTGTATTATTGAACAACGATGAATATTTATCACAAGCTCTACGAATATTTCTGAAAGTTAATGGAGGATTGCTAGTCACAAAGGTTTTGTGATGAGATTTTTATTTGATTTGTACTATTAACGAAAACTTAAGGCGTTATTTCTAAAATGTGATGAGTCAAATGAAATAAGGTTTTATAAAGCATTCTTGGTGACTGTTGTATAATATAATGATTTTTGTTTTTAACTTTTAATAATGTTTAGCGTCGTTTGGGAGCACAATATCGTTTTGATCGTTACCGCCAAATGTTCTCTGGATCAAATAAAAAAACACGTTGTCCAACTATGCAAAAGATAACTATTTGTTGAATGAAACCCATTTTATGAGTAGAGTCTGCTCATTGACACTGAACGTGATAAAGTGTAGATCGAACTCTTATTACTAGCCCAGAAAGTATTGACTGGCATACAATTTATGTTACAGATTCGAAAGTTGCTCTTGTCTACTCATTGTTTTCTAACGGGACATACGTTATTTATTAGTTGATTAGGTTTTTAATAATATTTGTGTTTCAGAAGCTTTTCTGGCTTACTGTGTGAACGTCTTGAATGAATAACAAACTCATGAGAAGTAGTATATTGTGTCTCATCCTGATAATTTGAGTGTAGTACCAAAGACATATACATATATAATGTTCTATAAAAAATATTATTTCATTGTATTTTAACGAAAATATAAAAGTAATTGCTTTTTTAACTGCATAGTTTAAAATATGGCAATAATAGATTATAATGTAAGGAACCTCAAAATCATACTGTATTAAAACACGTGACTTTATTTTTCTCAAAGATTAATAGGACCACCTTAGATTAGGTCTGTATCTGGAATATTATTAAAATTCAATATTTAACAGTGTTACGATATAAACGAAAAATAACGTATCACGAATGTACAGTTGTGTTGTCTTAAAACGCATGTCACAAAATTTTTGTTTTCAAAATAAACGATACATATAGTTCTAATAGAAAAAATGCTGTATGAGTAATATACGATTTCATAATTTAATGCAGTATATATATGCATACTGTTATATACACATATCGAAAATACGGTGCATGAAGGTACTGAAAGCATCAAGAATCAAAGTTTGCTGGGATGATTCTCATGGTTGTTGCTTTTTTTTCTATACTACACTGACGCTTAGGTCACAAAATGCCTATATACATAATGGATAAAATTCAACGAAACTTGTAAAAATATTTTAAAAATATCAATATAGTCAACGATCAACGTTGTGTGATATACAATTAAATTTTCATTTCAAAAATGATCACTGGTCGTACAAAAGACATTCTACATGTTTCGATGTCGTTCACGTCATCTTCAGGAGTGTGAAAAACAAATTCAGGGCAACATATAAATATCAAAAACTTCATTCTTTCTTTATTTGCGTGTGTGTATGTTTTCTGTGCTAGAATAAATTTTATTGAGACAGTACAATGCAGTTAATTTACATTCATTAATTAACATAACTATCGTACTCATATTAAAGAGTTTAGGGTTGAATGATTATAAAATTTATATTTCATACTAAGCATCTAATTGTTAATCTTTGAATGATATTAACTTTCCATAAATAAGGTATTTACCATCCATAAAACTAAGAAACTATAGTATTCGTTCAACTTTGCAAGGAATCACAATAATATCAGAATGGTGCAAATTATCATACGTTATGAGAGTAATTTAATACATTTATTCTTTTTTTCTGTTCATGGTCTCTTGTTAGCCTGAACCAGTATTTTATAGCTCCTACCTCTTTTTGTCCTTGACTAACCCGAGGTAGGATTTTATAGCTTTTTTTAGTGTTTGATCTCCTAAGCTAGTCTTCTGTGCCTCCTATGTGTTTTTGGCATCCTCAGTAGCGTGGACTAATGTGTTACAGTTCCTAACTCTTCTTGTCCCTGGCTAACCTGAGGTAGAATTTTATAGCTTTTTTTCAGTTTTTGATCTCCTGAGCTAGTCTTTTTGTATTTTAGGCATCTTCAATAGCGTGGACTAATGTGTTATATCTTCTGTCTCATTTCAATCATCTATTTAGCCTGAGCTGTTCCTTTATGACTTCCGTCTCTTTTAATATCCTTCTTTAGCCTTAGCTTCTGGTTGTTCCCAGTTGCCTGTTTAATCTGGGCTAGTCTATTTGTTTTGAAGCTCCTCTTTAGCTTAGATTAGTCTTTCGAAATTCATTACCTTCAGATCTCAAGCAATAACTTTGTTTGGCGTAACACAGTTTCGTTTTTTAATTCATGGAGTCAGCTTGAAAGTCTAATACTTGATTCTGTTGTTCATTTTAACATTTAACTAAAACATATTTTTCTTTGTCATATACAAATATTTGTTTTGCTAAGTGAAATAATCAGCAAGTAAAACAACGTAAACCCAAGAACTCCATATGTGGAATGGACGTAGATCCAATAACTCCATATGTGGAATGGACGTAAGCCCAAGAACTCCATATGTGGAATGGACGTAGATCCAATAACTCCATATGTGGAATGGACGTAAATCCAAGAACTCCATATGTGGAATGGGCGAAATTGTTGTTGCTGTTTGTTATTAAGGACAAAGCTACACAAAGGGCTATCTGTGCTCTGCCCACCACCGGTATCGAAACCCGGCTTTTAGCAATATAAGTCCGCAGACATACAACTGTGCTATTGAAGGGAGGAGGCAGGTGAAATTACACATTAATATTATGTATGGAAATTCTTTCTTCTATAGGTCAGCTAACAGAGAAAATTAAAAGTATATAATATGTGAGTAAATAAACTAAACTTGTAAGAAATTTTAGGTATGTTTGGATAATTTTGCATTTAATGTCTTAAATACTTAGCTAAAGGGAGTGCACTTTTTTAGTGGTTAGTACAGGATTTTCAATGTAGGGGTAGGTGAAGGTGTAATAGAAAAATGCGTTCGGGGACAAATTGTTATTATATTCTATGATCAGAATAGATTCATGGAAGATAATCTAAGAAGATCTAAAGTAGGATTATTTTTGCTGCAGGATGTATTTATGAATTTCTATTTTAGTAAACTAAAAATTACTTGGTGACTTACTATGATAAAAAGATGATAAAACAGCTTTTTAAGCCCAATAGTTCATTGGATAAAACCACATATTAAACAACGATTGTTAAAATTGATTCACACTACCTCTATATAATGTTCACCTACTTTCGACTAATGAATTTTGTATAACATTTTGCAGTTTTCGAATGGTCCCAGTAGTTCAGTGGTAAGTTTTAATGATTATAACGTTGAACATTTTTTTTTTTATACCTGTGGTAGCCAGAGCACAGTTAACCCGTTGTGTAGCTTTGCGCTTAATAAGAAACAAACAAAAAAGCTTTCAAATGTTTTCTGTTCTTACTCTGATTGGCTACGAAGGTAAGAAGACTAACCTATAGGTGAAATGATGTATTGTCGGGCAGGGTCTTTCTGTGTACAGTTTATTTGTGTCTAAAATACTATATTCTGTGAGCTGTAGTTTATAGTGGAAAGTTTTGGATAGCCAGACAAATATTTAGTGTGTCTGGCTCACCGCCACCCCTAACCTTCCCCTGTCGTCGACACTGAAATGTTTGCTGATATAATCCATTTGAGCAAGTTAAAAATAAGAAAAAAAAAGTTAATTTTTTCATGAAAAATCAGACGCATAAATTTTAATCACCAGGCTAGATTTTGTGAACTTAACTATTCTATCTTACGGGAGTATTCAGGAAGATTAGAAAACAGAATTATGTTATTGATGCCCTGTAACACTTTGAAGGGAGTTACATGTCTCAATTGTTTAGTAATAGCAAAAAAAAAATTAATTTCACTAGTTGAATTATTCTATAATTTGAAAAAGAAATAATCAAATAAATTAACCTTGGTGATCAAAAGTAAGTATAGATTGTTATGTTATACATTCAGTGAGTGAAAAATAAAATGCTGGATATAGCTTGGTGAATAAAATTCGTATAATACCTTATTTAAAATGATTTAAGTGAATAGATAAAGCTGTTTTTTATTTCTAGAATGCTTCGTTTTTTTACAACATGTTTCTTGCTTTTGGTGTTTCGTTAATATTCATATACATGTTCTTAGTAGCTTTGTAGCTTGACATACGCTGTGCTAATATAGGATGTGTTCTTGTTCACATCAGACAAAACCTAAAACAGGGAAATGAAATATGAGCTGCAGACAGCTGTGATGAAAAGTGTTTAGTAGCGGGTTTATATTTTCATAATTTTGGGAATTATCTCACTTGTTAAGATCTAGTTGAAGAGTTGTTAACTTACACGTTGCTGTTTTGAAATGTTTGTAGTGTGTACCAATTTGTAAAATGTCTTTTAATTTTATTAGAATATTATAACTTTTGTGATGACGGATGCCAGTCATAAGCTTTACTTGTACAGTTGGGAGAGTTGAATTTAACGTCAAGTTGAATATATTGAGTTTATAAACGAACTGATTTGTGTATCTACAGCAATACATAAATGAAGGATTAAAACAGAGTTAAGAAAAACACGTGTATGAGTCATTGTTTTTAGGATATTGAAATAGTTAGCACTCTGATAAACTGTGTAACTTACCTTATCTGAAGTTGTCTGACAAGACGGAAATACATGCAATTAATATGTTCTTTCAACTATATTTCACAAAAGTGGACGAATTTCGTTAATTAAAACTTAATTTTAAAAATATTTTGCATGTATTTAATGTTCAATTTTAAAACTCACAATTTTTTCTGTGATTTGTAGCACGGGGAGGAATATAGCCACTATTTCGGTCATACTCAGGCTTTTGGCTTGTCACATGTAACACATTTCATTCCTTTATCCTCCTTATATGAATTTATAAGCTTAATTATGTCCGATATAGCTAAGTAGGTAAATAACGCAATACAAGATAAGAATGTTGGAAAAAATATGTACTGAAGGATAAAAAATATCGCACATTCAAAGAAAGGACTTGCAGTGAAATGATTATAACATAACAGACCTCTTTACCACCAAAATACAAGCAATAAACTGTATAACAGACAATTAAATGAAATGATACATAAAAACCCTTTACATTAAAACCATCTAACGTACAAAGAGAATAAATAAACAGTTTTACAAAGTAGCACATGTAACACTAAAATAATAGTCTGGTTCACTTTTCCAGAAAAGCTGCTAGAAAAGATGGTTCAATTATTTTGGGGGTAATTTATGTCAAACAATTGATTTTGGTCAATTTGGGGGTGCTGAATTCAAAAATTTGTTTGTCCATCTGGCAAATGGCTCCTACACTGTCAAAATTGCAAAGCAAAATGGTCGCCATTTACCCCTGGAGTTTGGTTATATATATTTTTAATACGTAGAGTTAATTTTTTTAGTGTGCAGTTTGGGTCAGTTTCTGGATACTGAGTTCAAAAATGGTGACTACAAATGTACTATTTGTCTCCTATTTCCAGAAAACTTAAAAACAATCCAGAATGGCACCCCAAAGGCTGCGTATATTTAGGCGTATAGGCTGCCATTTCCATAGCTGCATAATTGCATTAAATAGTTTCTGGTATGTCTAAATTGAAACACAATATCAATGCACAATAGTAGAGAATAGCTTTGGTCATATGTTAATTTAGAAAATATTATAAGGAGAAAAACTAGATGTCCATGTTCATGCAATCGCCTGCACATTTGCATGCCCCACAGTATTTGTCTTTTCACACTTGGATCGTATTGTTGGACATCTCGTCTTGAACTTACATGTGATCAGGTCTTCACATACTTCTGGTATTGGAGGTAGAGAAGACAGAACCGGCTGTAACTGGCCATCTTGAAGTATCCAACCATAATCATTGTTGCCAAAAGAGAGCCTGGTAGTGTACTCTCATGATATGAAACTTGAGAGAATCACAAGTTAGAAGACATTTTTCTAACTGCTGATCATTTTTGAAATGGGCCACTCGTATTTGGTCAATGCTATTAGTTTCAAGAACAGAATCGAAAATTTTACATACAAAACTTTCAGCATTTTTTATCTTTTCTGATGTCAAAGTGGCAATGACAAGTTCATCTAGGAGTGTGCTGTGCTCAAAAAAGCATCTCTAAAGCTGATTTCTCGCTATGGCCTGTCAAAAAGGATGTTGAGGAAACGGCAGAAGATTGGACAATTTGATAATGGTGACAAAACAGAGACAAGTTCGTGAATTCGGGAAGCTTCTGAGAATCTGCTTTCATCCACAGCTCTTCACACTGAAATTTTTCAAAATGGGCAAGTAGTAACAGCAACATGTATGTGAGTCTTGACCTTGTACAATAATGACAGAAATGCTAGAATGGATATAGTGCAATATTACACGTGTATTTGCTTCATCTGGGGAGCTTTGAGGGAATATCACAGCAACATCTGATTGGCTGTAAAAAACCTGACTTTGCTGAATAAATCCTCCTGAAAATACAATAACAGGCATTCCAGCTTATGTGGCTTGCTTTGAAATTACCACTTATAAGAACTCAACCAATTCAATCTTGTTTTCAGTAACAGCTAAAAAACCTGCCAAGTTATGAGTTAAACGAACATCAGAAGGCTGAACCGACCTTCTGATTGATGTAGGTTTCTTGGTTTTATTTTGCCTGCGTCGAGTGGCGAAATTCACAGACAAAATTTGATAATGGTCAAATAAAACGTCAAGTCGCTAGAATGTTTCTTCGCTCTTAAAGACCAATGCACAGAAAACACTAACAAAATCTCCAAAGGTTTTTGTCCCTTGAGGATTTCTAAGGATATGGATTACAGACATACCATCAATGATCAGGGGTGTATCTTTATATGGAGGCAGGCTCTTAGGGCAACTGATCTTTGCTAACAGCTCATAAATTAGATGTGACTTTGATCCTGATCTCAAAAAGCCATCCAATGCTGCTAAACAAAGAGGAACTTCATACACAACAACAAGTCGCTGTAAGAGAATCTGATTAGCTATAATTGTCTTGGATTTGTCCTTTCCCCATACCTGAGGCTTTCACTATACATGCTAGCAAATGTAAAATATTTGCTTTTGTACAAAGGATCATTCCAAGGCACAGTGTCCAGGATCAAGCTTTGTTGTAGAAAGGTTAAACTAGAGCTTGTCCACTTTCCTTCACATTCAGCAATGCTGATGTTACATCTGTAGATGCTTGATTTTTGTTTGCAATGTTGAACAAATTTGTGAAGTTTGAATCAGCTCTGAAAAGTGAGAACCTTTGCAACACTTGTTTGAGGTTTTCTTCACACTGTGCCTCCAAGTACATGTGATTCTTTGCTTTCCATTGAATCATCTAGGGTAAGTTTATAAAGACTTTGTGCATCCTCCTCCATTTTGGATTGAAGACTGTAAGAGAATGCCCATCTTGACAAAGCAGAATTGATCTGGTAATTCCAACAGTGCCTCCTCCGACTTTTCAAACTTTGTTGAACCACTCCTGAGCATGGTCAGGATCTACTTGATCGAATAATTTCTGGCTACCTTAATCACAAAGTTACCATGTTGGAATTCTTCTTCGACCTCAGGAGGAAGCTGGTGCATCTCTGACAAATATATAGTACCCCAGCGAGCATACTTTCTATGGGTAAATTGAAAAAGTGTGGTATCGATTTTTGAAAGGAAATCAGCTACAACCTCCAATCAGCTACCCTTTAGGTCTTGGTAAGAAGTAGCAGAACTTTAATCATTGAACTCCTTTATAAGATCCAGAAATCTTTGAGAGCCAAGTTTGTTTATCAAACCAACATTTGCACTCTGGTCACTGGCCAAGTCAATGCTGTTTTTCTTCCAGGTACTGAAGAACTTGTGGTAGAAAATTTTCACATATGGCTTGGTTGGTCACTTTGTGTGTAC